AGTTTTTCCATGTTAACATGTGGTCTTTCACCTAACTTTGGTGAAAAATTGTTGTTTTGTAACATTTATAATTTTTTTAGTTAACCCTTTCCCCCATGAGCATATTGTGAAAAATGGCCGTTTTCACTGAAAAGCCTCCTGTTACAAGTTCAAACTGCTATGAAACTATGAAAAATGCTTCAATACTAATCAAACTTGGCACAAATGTTGACTGGACCACTGCCTTTGTAACGACATGCTCAGTCTTAAATTTCCTGTTACCATGGCAACGAGGGGACATCTCAAAATTGCCAAAATCACTATTTTGCCTCGATTTTTTCCATCAAAATTTATTTCAAAGTGCTGCAACTTCTCAAGGGATTGAGATAGAGTTAAAGGCTTTTCAGCGTTGGTTACACATTACATTATGATCGACCTGGGGTCATTTTTAGCCTCTCACAAGTCCAAAATTTTCTTGGCATCTCCCCCTTCTGGCAACCCCCTGATGTATCTTTTGGATGGGGGGCGGCGCCGAAAAAGTGCTCATTTTTTTTAGCAACATTTCTCAAACGAAAACATGTGTTTGGGGCCCAAATAGGACATTTTTTCACTATTTGAGGCCTAAAAAGGGGGGGGGGGGTCGAAAGTGCGTGGTAAAGGGTTAAGTAATTAAATATCACATATGTCAGTCTTTTTGACACTTAAGATTATTTCACTTTTAGAAATCTTTTACTCTTATCAACACCTTTTGGTTTAGGTGCTATTTATTTATAATACTTTGTAGCTTTTAGCAATTAATGCTATTAGGAAATTATGTAACTTACAGGATATGTTTTATACCTTTTTTCATAAGATAATTTTTATCCAGATTAAGCATCATGTAATACTTTTCTATTTTTCATTGGTTAATGTTTTTTATATTTTTCTATTGGTCAATGTATTTCAATTTTCATTGGTTATTCAATTAATTATTTAAATTAATAATACTGGAGAATATTATATATATAGATACAAAAATAAGTTAAGAAAGAATTAAGAATGGAGAATTAAGTATTAAGAATTAGAACAGTTAAGAATAAAGAATTGGAATTGTTAGGAACAGACTAGGAATCAGAATTAATGTAATAGTGTGTTAAAAGTATCTTGGAAACCCTTTTGATAAGAAACATTGTGGACTTAATATATTTTAATGAAAGTGAACTTTAAGAAACTTTGTATGGAATATAATATTAGTAAACTGTGAAATAAAGAAAATCAATAAATTGAATAAGTAATTAGGAACATTTGTGTTCATCTTCATTTCATCAAAGTTATCTGCTATCAGACTCTACATACTGATAGTAGAGTAAACTATGTGACCGACTGCTTGGGGTGGACACTTTATATTCTGTATCCGGACTCAGCTTAGACCTCGGCTAATTCCCCACAGCTTAAACAACCGGTACCGCATAGCTCTACCATAGGTCTAGGTTCCTGTACAGTGTTGCTGTTATCAGTGGAGAAGTTGTGACGTTCAACCTTAAGCACCAGTGTAGCAGCAGCCAGCCCCAAGGCAGCCCCCGGTCGCACATTCATTAGTCCATAAAATGTTAGTCAGTCTGTCACACTCAGTATTGTCACTCTCATTAACCTCCTGACATGTTTATGTATTGCCTCACTCAGGAATGACATACTTATCGTATAATCACAATAATTTTGTGTCGCCTGCTGTAGAATAGCAGCGGCATTTTTAGAAAGGGATCATTTCTCCATCGTCTGTCAGTCTCAAAACTACTTCTAAAAATTACTGAACTAGACTGGACGGGTTTTGGCCTGTAAATGATACTGTGTTGACTGCTACACATTAGCTGCAACATGCAATTGGCAATCATAGCTACTTATTAATGTGACACTCATGGTTGTCACTCAAATGTCACTCTCAGTAACATCTGTCAGTATTTTCACAGATATGTTTCTTTAACTATTGTCATTATGCATTCCCCCCTTGGAAGAATAAGGGGTATATTGTTTTGCTGAAGTCTGTTGGTCTGTCTGTGGTCCGTTGGTAGACAACATGACTTCAGCGAATTACCTTGAAAACTATTTATCACAAAGTCTTCATATTTCACATACTGATTGTCAGAACAAGTAGATGACTCTGGGGTCATTAGGTCAAGGTCACAGGGGCTTAAAATGTCAGAATGTTTAGCATTCATTATCTTTCAACCTGTTTATCACAAAGTCTTCATATTTTAGATACTGATAGGTCATAACTAGTAGATGACCCCTTTTGATTTTGGGAGTCACTAGTTCAAAGGTCAAGGTCACAGAGGCCTTAAATTTAAGAATGGTTTCCACTCATTACCTTGGAAACTTTTTATCACAAAGTTTTAATATTTTACATATTGATTAGACATAATGGGGTCATTAGATAAAGGGTCAAGGTCTTTATATTTCACATATTGATTGGTTATAACTAGTAGGTCATTATTTTTCTTTTTTCCATAACTTAAGGAAAACCTTAGGTATTATTTCTGGCACAAATAGGCACCTGAGTAGAACCACTGATATTCCTCACATGAAAGAATTCATAGTCCCTTGCAGGATTAGGACCCAAAGGAGTGAAGGGAAGTGGTTTGAAGTGAACAACCATAACCGCCCTGCCACAGTCATCTGCTGATTTTCAAATAAATTGTGACTAGAGCCTTGTAAAATAAGATAAAAATGAGGGGTATACACAGTAGTGGACATTGTAATTTGCATGTAAATGCATTGAAACATTACTCATTGATGATATTAGGAAAGATAAATTTCAAGTTAATATCTACATTTTTACCATTACATGTATTTATATATGAAAGACTTTTTATAACTCATAAAAAATTCTGGCCCCATCCTGAATCCACCAGGAGGCTTCTGAACCAGGAACCAGAATTTTAGAATAGTTACAGTAAAGTTTCAAGAGTTATCTCCCTTTTAATATTATTGGTAATGCCTTTTTCAGAGGAAAGTAATATTAATTAACAATCTGTACATACATGTATGGGAAGAGACATCTGTTTACTATTGTTTGTTACCATTGATTTGCCTGTAACAGTTTGTAAATGACTTTAGCTTATGTATTGTGTAAATATATATACACAGCTGTGTGACACTTCAAAACATATTTTTCCCGCTTTATATCAAAAATCGTGTATGAAGGAAAATTTAATGTTTTTAGAAAATCATTGAAAGAGTCTTGAAAAACTTAACATTTAAGAAATGTGAATTCTTTGAGAGGAGAAAATAAAATGACCAAATATGTAAATCCTATAACAATATACAAATCGAAAACTTTTATAATATTTTCACAATAGCAGGTTTTCATTTTGTAAAGTTAATATTGAATTCAAATTTTAAATGGACTTAAGTACATACAATAGGATACATTCACCCATAGCCTGATAGTGGCAACAGGTTCTATCAATGACTGTTTAATACAAACCATATCTGCTGTGTGATCACGTTTTACACTGTTTGCTATTCAGTCAGTACTTATTTTGAAATTTTCCCCTTAACCTTTTCCCTAATATAAGCGTGTTTCGACGGCTTCCCCCCCCCCCCTTTTTGAGGCCAGAGACAGTGAAAAAATGCCCTATTTAGGCCCAAAACACTATTTTCGTATGAGAAATGTTGTTCAAAAAAGTAACCACTTTTTCGGCGCCGTCGCCCATCCAAATATTACATCAGGAGTTTCCAGAAGGGGTATGTGCCCCCATGTGTTTGGGAGTTTGAAGGGGGGCGAAGTCCCCCTCATCTCCAAGAAAATTTTGGACATGTGACAGGCTAAAAATGGCGTCGGGTCGAACCTAGGATAGCTAGTAACCGACGCTGAAAAGCCTTTTACTCTATCTCAATTCATTGAGAAGTTGCAGCACTTTGAAATCAGTTTTGATGGAAAAAAACAATGCAAAATAGTGATTTTTGGCAGATTTGAGACATCCCCCCGTTGCCATGGTAACAGGAAATTTACCATTGAGCATGCTGTTACAGAGGCTATGGTGTAGTCAACATTTGTGCCAAGTTTCATTAGTATTGAAGCATTTTTCATACTTTCATAGCAGTTTGAACTTGTTACAGGAGGCTTTTCAGTGAAAATGGCCATTTTTCGCAATATGCTCATGGGGTAAAAGGTTAAAATGATGAATGGTGATGTCCAGATTGAAATATGGACAAGTCCATTTAAGATATTTAGGGTGGCAAGGGCAATTAAGATAAGTTCATTTATCTCTATTCTCTGACAATTTTATATCTCCCACAATTTTTAAAGGTCAAATACCATATCTTAAATAAATTAATTATCTTGTGCAAAACATTGAGAGCATTCAAAATGCTACCATTATACAGAGAAACATGCTGTGAATCTTCATGATTAGATCCATTTAGACAAAAACGTTTATTCCAGCCTTCATTAAACTGTTGGATTTTTGCATAATGCTCTGATCCTTTTTTCATTTTTAAGGGCCATCATAAGATTAAGGGATTTCAATTTCAGTGTAATAAAAAGACTGGGTTATAACATCTAGTGCTTTACCCTGCTGTAGCCCCTTGTAACTATGGGGTTGTATTGAAGGGTTTAGGAATAAAAATTGCAATCATGTTTATCCCTGCATCATTGCGAGAGATGAGTAAATGGGTTCGAAATATTGAAGTTTATGTATCTCTGTTGTTTCTTTAAGTTTGTAACACCGAAGGTTAGCCAAAATCATCTTTCCTGTTTCGGTGCCTTATGACCTAAAATGTGTTGTTGCCCAGTAAAACCCAAACAAAACAAACAAAATTACCCTAATGGAACCAAAAGTTATCAGCTCTTGTGACAAGTAAAGCCAGTTGTCTGACAATTTGATCTAAGATATTTCTATGTGAAGCCATCTAGTCACTTATTTAAACATTGAATATTAAGAAATAAATTTGAAAATTCTTGAAAGAGTTATAGAAGTGGTAAGCAGTCAGGCAGAGTACAGAAATATTGGTTAGGTGGTTAGGTAACCACTAGCCAGTTTATGGCTTATATATAACTTAAGATTGGTGATAGTCCTAGTAAAGTGAAGTTTATTGATTTTTTCAGGATGCGTGAATTTGTCATTTGCGTTTGTGGAAGGTAAGAGTCTACTGATGGCATTAAAAGACATTGCTCTTTCATCTGGAAGGTGATAATTATACTTCTCTTTCATTATTAGACTTTTTGTGTCGCCTCTACGGAGTAGTGGCGACATATAGGGATCACTTCTCCGTCGTCTGTCTGTCCGTCTGTCTGTCTGTCTGTCCGTGCGTCCGTCACAAAACTTGTCCGGACTACTCCTCATAAACTACTGGTGCAATTTCATCCAAACTTTACAGGAATGATCAGTACCAAGTCTAGTTGTGCATATTGTCAGCATTTTCCGGTTCAATGATTTTTGTCAGAGTTATGGCCCTTTAATAATTTTTAATTTTAAAGTTTGTCCGGACTCCTTCTCTTATACCACTCATGCAATTTCAATGAAACTTTACAGGATTGATCTGTAGCTCAAGTCCTTGCGCATATTGCACGGGTTTTCCGGTTGAATGATTTTTGGCCGAGTTATGGCCCTTTGATAAAAAGGTTTCTTTTTCTGTGTGTTGCCAGATACACAAAAGCTTGTCCGGACTACTTCTCATAAACTACTGGTGCAATTCCATCCAAACTTTACAGGAATGATCAGTACCAAGTGTAGTTGTGCATATTGTCAGCATTTTCCGGTTCAATGATTTTTGTCAGAGTTATGGCCCTTTAATAATTTTTATTTTTAAAGTTTGTCCGGACTACTTCTCTTATACCACTCATGCAATTTCAATGAAACTTTACAGGATTGATCTGTAGCTCAAGTTCTTGCGCATATTGCACGGGTTTTCCGGTTGAATGATTTTTGGCCGAGTTATGGCCCTTTGATAAAAAGGTGTTTTTTTCTGTGTGTTGCCAGATACACAAAAGCTTGTCCGGACTACTACTCATAAACTACTGGTGCAATTTTATCCAAACTTTCAAGAATGATCAGTACCAAGTCTAGTTGTGCACTGTCCGTCTGTCTGTCTGTCTGTCACAAAATTTGTCCCAACATGAAATTTGCCTTCATGAGGCGACACATGTGATTACTGATCGCTCTTGTTTTGTTCAAAGCTTATCTGTTGCTCTGGTATATTTTCTTAAAGTTATACATTTATTAAAATGAATTATTCACAAATTATAGCTTTATTCCCTTTAAAGCACACACAAGTTAAAACCATGATATTTGTTTATACATTCAGTACTGGTACTTGTTATTTTGTTAACACAGATTTTATCACATTTTTGGGCAGTTGGTCTACTTAAACAGCTTAGTCTAAAATCATTATTATTCGTGGGGCACAAATTTTTGTGGTTTTCGTGGGTAGGTCAATCCACGAATTTAAGATCCGACGAAATTTTATCCCAACAAATACTTCTTGCCATGTCTCTTTTCTATATATTACTAACATGCATCCGCGCTTCTATGCCGATTGTTGTGTAATGAATGCTACCCAGAGGCAAGGATTATATTTATTGACAAGCACTGTGTGATATGTTAATATATGTACATGCAGTAAGTGAAATGCGAGGCGATTAAGTGTAAAATTACTTTGCAATGGTTATTTATTTTATTTTTAGCTCGACTATTCGAAGAATATGAGAGCTATTGTAGTCGCCCCGGCGTCGGCGTCAGCGTCGGCGTCTGCGTTGGTTAAAGTTTTTTGAAAAGTCAAATATCTCAATTATTACTTGAGATATTCAATTGAAACTTACAATACTTATTTATAGTAACAAGGTACATCAGATTGACAAGTTGGATAACTCTGCCTACAATATTGACAGAATTATGCCCCTTTTTAACTTAGAAATTTTGGTTAAAGTTTTTTGTTAAGTCAAATATCTCAATTATTGCTTGAGATATTCAATTGAAACTTACAATACTTATTTATAGTAACAAGGTTCATCAGATTGACAAGTTTGATAACTCTGCCTACAATATTGACAGAATTATGCCCCTTTTTAACTTAAAAATTTTGGTTAAATTTTTTTTAAAGTCAAATATCTCTATTATTGCTTGAGATATTCAATTGAAACTTACAATACTTATTTATAGTAACAAGGTACATCAGATTGACAAGTTTGATAACTCTGCCTACAATATTGACAGACATCAATAAGGCCCCCTTGGAACTTAGAAATTTTGGTTAAATTTTTTTACTAAAGTCATATATCTCAATTATTGCTTGAGATATTCCATTGAAATTTAAAATACTTATTTATAGTAACAATGTTCATCAGTTTGCAAAATTGCATAACTCTGCCTGCAATATTTGCGGAATTATTTGCCCCTTTGAAACTTAGAAATTTTGGTTAAGGGTTAAAGGTCTTCAAAGATATTTACTTGAAACTTTACACATGCACTTAGGGTCATAATTGGAGGGTCATAATTTTATGTCACTGACCAAGTTCCATAACTCTATCTTGCAAAACTCTATCTTGCATTAAGGCTGATTCATATCCCCTTTTCTACTTAGTCTCTTGGTTAATGTTAACATGCAAGTTTTACATATCTCAATAACTATTAAAGATATTTATTTAAAACTTCAAATATGCATTTAGTGTCATAATTGTAGGTCACTGACAAAGATCCTTAATTCTATCTTGCATTTAGGCTGATTTTTCTCCCCTTTTTCAACTTAAAAATTCATGGTAAAGTTTTGCTTGTAAGCTGTTATCTCAATAACTACTGAAGGGTTTGTGCCTTTTTTGGAACAATTTTATGTGTTCATAATAATAAAGCAGTGATTTACTTGATAAAACATATATATAACAAGCCTTTGTACCTTTTCTGTCAAATTTATGTATTTATAGGTAATTAGTATTATTATACTCAATAAATACCCTTGTGACATTACCTTCCGAATAGTCAAGCCAATACTGTATAATTAGACTCTCTCTAAGGCCTAGAACATGAATTTATAAAAAAAAATAGCCCTTTATGAACTTAAAAAATTTAACATTATCAAGGCTCTTTTACTATCAAGCACTTAGAATAGTCGAGCGTGCTGTCCTACCGACAGCTCTTGTTTTACAAGAAATTGAAAATCCACAAATTTAAGAACCCTCGAAAATGCCAGTTTTTATAAAACCACACGAATATAAGTGAATTCACAGTAACTGGAGAAGTAACGGTCATTAACAATTTCTCCCCAAGTGGTCAACTACTTATCCCAGAATTATTTCTTACTAGTTGGTGTAGCTAGAGACAAATGACTATTACACTTGATGCCTGGTATCAGTTGTCACAGAGAAATTTTTTCTTGTGTCAGGATCAAACCAGGAAACAAATGTAATGTTCTCTGTATTGACCTACTAGTGGAAGGGCTTAATCTTAAAAAGCATTTGACAGTTTGTATATATGTTGATTGTTAACTAACCAGCATGTTTGGATATATGTTTTTTTCAGTGCTTGTACATCAGCATCTCTGGAACCTTCCTATGTTTTACGTGCAATCGGAGCTGACGAAGATTTGGCTCATTCCTCAATTAGGTAGTTACAATAGATTTCTTTATTTTCTTTACAAATATGCACAAATAAACTGAATATTGTCATTGTTTTGCTTTCCTTTGATGCGGTTTTTTAAGGGAAGGTTGTTATTGTATGCTAAACTTGTCATATGTGCCCCAACGAAAAGTTCATGATACTGTACTGATATAAAACACATCAATAGATAGTTTAAACTTTATTGTTACTTTACTTTATTGTTACTTTACTTTATTGTTACTTTACTTTCATTGCACTAAATAGCTTTAATGGATTTTACTATCTTTCAGTCGGAACAAAACTAGAATTTTTTTTATTGAAAATTTTAAAATGTTATCTGATTGAATAACAAACAGTGCCGACCATGATCAGGCAGTACAAACAGATGTGCCAGACTATCTTGGTCTGTACTGGTCGCACGAGTATATTCAGTTGCCCCAATAGTCTTAGGGTTAGCAACTTAGTTACTTTACAGTTTCTATATAGAAGAGTATAGGAGCTATTTATTATAGATAAATATGTACATGATATAGGGTAGTCATGCTTGATGCTTTAAAACAAATTGGACACAAATTTATTCATGTTTTTTTTTTATTCTCCAGCTAGCTTACGGAACATCGGTGGTTCTACTCAGCTGCCCATTTGTGTCTAGATAATGCACAGAGGGGATACTTGAGGTCTTCTTTCATCAGTAAAGCTGGAAAGTCACCATTTGACCTATACTGCATTGATGCAATGTAAAACTCTACAAAAAATATGTTTGTCAATAGTTACCTCCATTTATCATATTAGGAAAATGCCTTTCTGTGCCATAGAGATAAGTCTTACTGAAAACAGAACTGTGGCCCAAAAATTACAGTAAAGAATGAACTGTATACATGTACCATTATACCCTTACGCAAAGAGGAAGTATCATGGGTACATGAAATATTGTATACAAAATTTATTTTAATTTTTTGTTGATGCAAGGAACTATAGGATATTGCATGCACTTATTGTCTGACTCTTAAAAACATTGCAGATTTGGTATTGGAAGATTTACAACCCAAGCAGAGATAGACTACACAGCTGATAAATGTATTGAACATGTGACCAGATTAAGAGAAATGAGGTTCTTATTTATATTATATACTTATAAATGAAATATTGAGAAATACTGATGAAATAAAATGCATACTTTTTATTTTCCTTAATTGAATTGTAAAAATTTGTTTTTCACTGTAGTGAAAGATATTTTCCATATTTTCACTGGTGTCTTGCCAGACTACTTTCTTCTAAATTTAGCCAATACACAAAATTAAAAAGGGAATTCTTCCTATTCATAATGTTAAAAAAGAGAAAAAAAGTTGACGCCGCCCTATGCCTGTTGACTGACTAACTTCATACTTTCATCTTGATTTCCCCAAATTTGATAATGGACAGTTCCAAAATAGGGTTACAGGTAAGAGGGTCAGAAAATATAAAACCAGACTTGAGGCTGGAACCAGAAATCATCAGATTTTGATACATTGTGGTGCGGCTTTCAGAGTTCAAACGCATTTTGCAGGAAACTTGTAAATTTATTTCTGCTCTGTAACATATGCAACCAGTGATTTTTCAACTTGTATAACAGAGTCCTTTAAAAGGCCTCTTCTCAGTTGAATTTTTTTTAAAATCATGCAGTTTATCAAAATCTTAACTTACTCCAGCTTTTTTACTTTCCAAATTAGCAATTTTAGCGATATTTTTTCCCCAAATCAAAGAGTCTTAGGCCACTTCCCAATTAAGTGAGAAAAATCACAGGCAAGAAGAATGTTGCACACTCATTTGCTGAAAAAAACAGTAGAGATGATACAATAAATAAAAAAAATCAAGAAAATATTAAGCAAATATTCTCTAAAATAGAATAAATGTCTTTAGTCTTTATTGAAAATCTTCTGCTGAAGGCGTGATATTTTAATAAACATTGTTATTAAATGTTAAATTTTAACCTGTTGTTTTGTATTTCAGTCCTTTGTGCTGAAGGCATGATATTTTAATAAACATTGTAATTAAATGTTAAAGTTTAACCCGTTGTTTTGTATTTCAGTCTATTAAATGTTAAATTGTAACATAATATTTTAATAAACATTGTTATTAAATGTTAAATTGTAACGTGATATTTTAATAAACATTGTCATTAAATGTTAAAGTCTAACCCGTTGTTTTGTATTTCAGTCCTTTGTGCTGAAGGCGTGATATTTTAATAAACATTGTTATTAAATGTTAAAGTTTAACCCGTTGTTTTGTATTTCAGTCCTTTGTGCTGAAGGCGTGATATTTTAATAAACATTGTTATTAAATGTTAAAGTCTAACCCGTTGTTTTGTATTTCAGTCCTTTGTGGGAGATGGTTCAAGAAGGAATAGATTTGAAGACAATAAAATGGTCACAGCACTAGAACAAAATGTTAATAATTATGTGATATTATATATAAACAGCTGGCCCGGTCACTAAAATGTCTGAATTTTGTTGGAGGGAAGTGTACCATAACTTGTTTGTTTTACACACCAACAGTTTGTTTCTTGAGTTTTTTTTCTGTATCATTGACAATGTTTTTATGAGTACCAGTCCAGGATTTGTAAAATACTGTAGGACCAGTCTACTGATGTTCTTTAGAACCAGTCTACAATAAATTCCTCTGTGACAGTCTAGATGACAATGTTATTTTCAGTATTGTCAAATTTTATGTAGATAAAATGTTGAATTGTTGATATGAAAATGCTGGCAGACCATTTACAGCCACAAAATAATATTATAGTGCACATGTTATTTATATATTTCAGTATTCAGTAGTTTTAAAGTGGATTGGTCTACAATGGGCACATTTCCATAATTATTTCAAAAATTGATCAAAACAATAGAAATGTATCATTTGGATATTCTAATAAAATATTGCTTGAAAAAAATGTGGATAAAGTTCTAGTATGAACATTTATATGATGAATAATAATATTTTGTCCTAGAATACATTGTAATAATATTTTATTTTGTTCTAGATACATTGTAATAATTTTTTTGTTCTAGAATAATAAAATTTTGTTCTAGAACATTTCATTACCTGCTATATAAATATATGTAACATCAGATCATGTATCTAACACTTGCCAGCAACATTCATATATAATTCTTTTGATAATTGTTGTAATATCTTATACTAAATACTTTCTACATTATTATTTTTTGTTTAACAAACATTTCATTAGAGACTAATTCACTTTAAAGTATAAAATGTTTTTGAAATTTGTTTATTTGAGCAAGACTTAAAGCAGTCATTGACAATTATTCAAGATTAAATTAGAAATTTTCATTGGTTTGTTGATTGGCAAAAAGGCTTACATGTATGTGCAGCCACTATTGTATACAAAACAAGATCATTGCTTGCTTATAGCCCTGTATATTTTGTCCACATTTAACATTACTAATAAATATATTGATTTATGAATAAAAATATTTTAAATTAATTTTACTAGGCTCATATTGATGTAAATGGATAAACTGCTAATAAGTAATATTACCCGTTAATGAATGTTGATGTCATTTCCTTGTTGCTATTAGTTTAAGAGGTACTATAGATATGGGATTGTACTTTATATCACTTAATTCAATGTTTTTATTCTTTTGCAAGCTTGAGAAACTGGTTCACAGATTGGATGTTTTAAACTTAACTTAGGATATAGATACTTAGAGAAATTTGTGGTTTAATGACAAAGCTCCTGTAGACACTTGTGGTGACTTAGCCCTTGTGATGGTTCTGCTCATGTGTTCTGAGGTCTTCCGCCACCAGTTAAGCTGGAATGTATGACCTATACTGTTGTTGGTGCGACTTACACCCCGCCATTGTCTTTGACAATATTAGAATGACATGTTATCTGTTCCGCCAAAACACCACTTGTTTGATCGGTTATTTAGCTTTTCAAGTTTTAACTATAGATGCCTGTTTCATGAGAAATTGACTTTTTCCTTCAGCATACAACTCATTATATGGCCAAATTGTAAATGTGAGTAAATAAGCACTACATTGTAATAAAATATTGGTTTGAAAAGTGTTAATTTTCTGTTTCTTATTCCTGTCAGATTGTTTATATAAATTAACGGCTTACCTTTTAACATTTTCATAATTGCCACAACTGTGTGACTGTCTTGTTACTTTAAAGTTACAAATGAAAAGTACTTTTTACCATATGGTATGTTTGATTTGTCAATTGTATATGTATAACATAATATGTTATCTATACTTATACCTTTGATATTGTAATATTGTTGATACAGATGTTGTTGTACCCTCTGAACTAAATCCACAATTCCAAGATCTTAAAAATGATAGATCTTTTTTGTAGCTTGCTGAATAATGTCAAAAATATATTGTGTATGTATATATAATTTTGTGTAATTTGTAAAAACTAAATGTTATTGAATCAAATTGTTCTACCTAAATAAGTGTTGTTGGTTTTTCTCTCTATAACATCAAATTATTAAAGGGACTTCACTGAGTTTTTTTGGCATGACAGGACTGGAAATAAGTTTTCAAGATTAATGTTCCATTTGATGTAGGTCTATACCAATAACTTTTGTGCAAAATTTCAGATTAAGTTTTTTATATCCTGAAAATGAAAACTGTTGCAACCCTTTTTCACTGAAATTGGTCAAAGAAAAGCACACAAAAATATGATTTTCAATTTAATTCTGTATTTCTTTATAATGTATAACATATCTTTCTGTTAAAAGTTCCCCAGCTGATCTATGTATAATATCAAATTTGGTGTTTAAAAATTGTAAAAAAAAATATGTATGTAAGGTCAAGTTTCTTTTTAGCTCACCTGTCACAAAGTGACAGGGTGAGCTTTTGTGATCGCTTTTCGTCCGGCGTCCGTCCATCGTCCGTCCGTCCGTCTGTAAACTTTTACTTTAAATGACATCTCATAAACCACTAAGCCAATTTCATCCAAACTTCACAGGAATGTTCCTTTGGTGGTCACCTTTAAAAATTGTTCAAAGAATTTAATTCCATGCAGAACTCTGGTTGCCATGGCAACCGAAAGAAAAAACTTTAAATATCTTCTTTTAAAAAACCATAAGAGCTAGAGCTTAGATATTTGGCATGAAACATCTTCTAGTGAGTGTCTACCAAGCTTGTTCAAATAAAAGCACTGGGGTCAAAATTGGCCCCGCCCCGGGGGGTCATTGATTTTTCGTATATGCATATAGTAAAAACTTAAAAAATCTTCTTTTAAAGAACCCAAAGAGCTAGAGCTAAGATATTTAGCATGAAACATGTTCTAATGGGTGTCTACCAAGTTTGTTCAAATAAAAGCCCTGGGGTCAAAATTGGCCCCGCCCTGGGGGGTCATTGATTTTCCCTATATGCATATAGTAAAAACTTAAAAAATCTTCTTTTAAAGAACTCAAAGAGCTAGAGCTAAGATATTTAGCATGAAACATGTTCTAATGGGTGTCTACCAAGTTTGTTCAAATAAAAGCCCTGGGGTCAAAATTGGCCCCGCCCCGGGGGGTCATTGATTTTCCCTATATGCATATAGTAAAAAATCTTCTTTTAAAGAACCCAAAGAGTTAGAGCTAAGATATTTGGCATGAAACATGTTATAATAAGTGTCTACCAAGTTTGTTCAAATAAAAGCCTATATGTGTATAGTAAAAACTTAAAAAAAATCTTCTTTTAAAAAGCCCAATGAGCTAGAGCTTAGATGTTTAGCATGAAACATCTTCTTATGGGTGTCTACCAAGTTTGTGCAAATAAAAGCCCTTGGGTTAAAATTGGCCCTGCAACGTTGTGGGGGGGTGGGGGGCCTATATACAGGTGAGCGACCTCAGGGCCATCATGGCCCTCTTGTTTTATTGTTATGCTCCCCTGAAATCTGGAGGCATATTGTATTTGTAAAGTCTGTCTTTATCAGTTTCTGTCTGTCCCAACTGTCGGGTCTTTGTCTTTTATGGATGGACTTTTAAATTATTTTGTATTTATATATTACTATGTATAAATATGCATCATGACAATGTGTGGCAGGCATGAATCAGGTCGTCACACTTCTATGTACACATTTTTAGCTCACCTGAGCTAGCTCAGGGTGAGCTATTAGGGTCGTTGAATGTCCGTCGTCTGTCGTCCGTCCACACTTGTTTGTTAACACTCTAGCGGTCACATTTTTGCCTCAATCATCATCAAACTTTGTCAGGATGCTTGTCTAGGTAAAAGCTCATATGAGTTAGAACATGGGTCATCTCTGATGAAAAACTAGGTCACATAAGCTTAAAATAGAAAAAAAGACTGTTAATACTTTAGTGGTAACATTTTTGACTCAATCATCATCAAACTTTATGAGGATGCTTGCCTAGGAAATTGCTCGGATGAGTCCGAACATGGTCTGATGAAAAACTAGGTCACAGGAGCTAAAAATAGAAAAACCTTGCTAACACTGAATATGGGTCACCTGGGGTCAAAAACTAGGTCACACTGCCCAAATATGGAAAAACCTTGTTAACACTCAGGTGGTCACATTTTTGACTCACTTGTCATCAAACTTGGTCAGGATGCTTGACGTTGTCTAGGTAATTGCTGGGATGAGTTCGAACATGGGTCATCTCGGATGAAAAACTACGTCACAGGAGCTAAAAATAGAAATATCTTGTTAACACTCTAGTGGCTACTGTTTTGATCCAGATATCCTGGAAATTGGTCTGAAAGTTTGTTTTGATGATTTCTAGGTCAAGCACCTAGGGTCAAACACTAGGTCACACCGCCCAAATTTGGAAAAACCTTGTTAACACTCTAGTGGTCATATTTTTGACTCAGTTTTGTTTCTGGTGAACGACTCGGGGCCATCATGACCCTCTTGTTTTTTTAATGCGTTTATTTAAGGTCGCCACCGGAAAGCCCATATGGGCGACCGTACACTCAAGTCGGGCCATCCTAGAGCGTCCCGCCGAGATTTTTTCGTCGATTTTTTCCAGCTTTTATTGGTGGAGGAAGACCCCAGGTGCCCCTCCGGGCATTATTTCAGGCACAAGTGGGCACCTGGGTAGAATCCACCAACCTTCCGTAAGCCAGCTAGATGGCTTCCTCACATGAAAGATTTCGACCCGAGTGAGGATCGAACCTACAGCGGTGAGGGACCTGTGATCTCAAGTCAGCGACCTTAACAACTCGGCCACGGAGGCCCCTAAGACAAAGTTCAAGGGGAAATCAGGGTATTTATAGGAAAAGGTCACATGACCCTTGATCAGTAACGTGACTTCATATAATGACGTCACTGAGTACCCAGATTGGACATGTGATCTATTTGATGACGTCACATTGTCTCCATCTTGACTCGATTAAATGCAGAACATATTCTAAGTCTCCGTCTCGAATTCTAATCAGAACCAACTAATGATGGATGAAACACAAGGCATTACACAAGTTTTATGAGTTATGTAGCAATAAATAAGGGATTACAAATGGGCAAACTGACGTAAACATCAAGTATTATACATATTTTAATAAATCAGAATAATTATGATAACTGTCAACAAATATTAACATGGTTTCCGGAGTTATAAAAAGTGTCTTGATGTTCGGACGAAATGAACTTCGTAACATTACTCCCAT